GGTCGCACGCCGGTGGGTACCCCGCGCGACGCGGCGCGTATACGGCCGCGTCGATTTCCACAAGCAGGGAGAGGTACTGGTGGCTTAAGACGGCCGTCGTTTTTTTATTTTTATTTTATTTTTCACTTTTTTTTATTGTTTTTTGGCCCCGATTTTTGGGGACTACCGGTCGCACGCCGGTGGGTACCCCGCGCGACGCGGCGCGTATACGGCCGCGTCGATTTCCACAAGCAGGGAGAGGTACTGGTGGCTTAAGACGGCCCCTACTGCAAGATATCCGCCAGAGTCCTTGTCCAGAGCAGCACCGATGCCAGTCATTGGTACATACTAGGCCACCATCCGTTCCTCTTACCTCTATCATCGACTGGGCCTTATTCTGGTTTATTCCCCAGGGAGGTCCTACCTCAGGACTCTCCTACCTAATCCCCCCACGAACGGGACCCCCCTATCATCCCACCTGCCTCCCTCCCCCCCCAAAGCAAGGCCCTAAGGTAACCAGCTCACATGATCAATCTCACCACAATATCCCTGCCTGCATCCCAACTATTTCTGTGCCAATATGCTCCGCCTGGCCTGATCGGATTCGAACCCTCGACCTCTTCTATACAGCCCCTAGCTCAAATATGTCCCACTGAGCTACAATGACAACTAGTCTGTTTGTGCGCTGTACTATCGGTAGCTTGGGCGACAAATGCGTGAACAATCGTCCGAACAACCCATGGACCGAGAACATCTGGCAGACCTCTCACAGCCTAAACCCCAACATACAGCAACTGTGGACAGAACCCCTTAGGTGGAACAGGCAGTGTCTGTAGCCCTTAAGACTTCTTACCATGCACCAACCCAAGGTGGGTGTGCGAATGGCCTCCTTGCCGGTGTCCATGCGCAAGGCTGCAGAGTTTCGAACCCACAGCCTCAAACCCACAATGCATATTTCCAACAGGTGCTCTACGGCCAGTTTAGTATCTCATCCGTGGTCCATCGGGCCGGAGGGTACTATTTTGGCAATTGAAACCCCAAAAAAAAAAAAAACAGCAGTGGATCTGAACAAACTGTGAAATCAATTAACAAACATGCCATGTTGAAGATGAAAAAAGATAATCTACCAAGGAATGAGGAAGAGGTAGATATAAACAAAGATAATGGAAATCAGACAAAGCAGAGAAGGCGAAGTTCGGGCTGAAGTGAAATGATTCGAATGAGCAAGGACACTGATGGATACCAGTACTGCAACATTGGAATTCTAAGATTTCCCAGTTGATCTCCCCTTTCTCTGCATGTGTTCATCTTCCCCTTACTTCGTCTCCATCTCTCCCGGTTGTGCAAAGACCCACGGTTCTGCAGCACCAGAGAGTGTACCATACTTGTAAATATGTTTGACGAGCGGTGTGGTGTGAGCTTTAGTTTTACCCTTGTTGTTTGAAAATTTAGTTGTTCGTCTTTCTTTTGTTTTGTTTTTGTTTTCTCTCTTTTTTTTTTTTCCTTCTTTTTTTCTTTTGGTTTTTCGCAAAAAGGACCCTGGGACTTTTCTGCCAGAACGGAAAGTGTGTTGGAAGTTGGAACCTTCCGGGAACGTGCGAGGAGAGGCCGGTGAGAGAGAAAGTAACCGACTCAGGCCCACCACCTTGGAAATTGTGAGGCACTGACACTGGAAATTGAGTCACACTTGCCTGACGGAAAAAGGTACCGGCCCAAAGAAAGTTTTAGTTGGCCCTGGGCCAATAACTGGGCCTGGCTGCTGGTACCAATGGCACAACATATTGGCTGACCAAAGTATACGAGGCAGCTAGCCGCCTATTGACGCACTCACTTGTGGAAGGCCGCCAAGCTGCTCCGGTACGGTGCTAGAGTGGGCGCTGTTACAGTGCGGTGCTACAGTACAGCGCTACATTGACGTACTGCTAGTGTTGTGCTTTAGTACTGTGCTACAGTGATATGCACGGCTACAGTGCGGCGCAAAAAGTACAGCGCGTACTCATGGATGGCAGTGGCCACCTAGGTGCTAGGCTATGGTGGATACCATACTTGCAAGCGGACGCCGTCCGGGAGGTTCCACACGTGCAGCAGACCGCCGGACCGGACCCGTGCGGCGGACGAATGTGCGCCCGGCGACCAGTTACGCCCC